AAAAAAAAAAAAAAAGGCTCACTTTCAGTTTAAAAACTGCTAAATAATGAAGTGTAGTCATTTGACTTATGATGCCAGAAAATCATAATCAAGTAAAATTTACCACATACAATATTTGGACAAATGTTTATAATCACTGTACCTTCTGAGTTTAACATTTAGGCCTCTGAAAGATACGCTGGGAGAGAATACAAATATTCAAAATACAATACCTATTAACAATTCTTCAACAAAAATACTGTTCTCTGATGGAATCAGGAAGACTGTCAACAACAGAACCTCCCCCTCCACCAAAAAAAGAAAGCTGACTGAGGAACTGTTTAAAGCCAAGTTGAGTGTGTATTAACATTTATGGGGGGGGGGATAAACATTTTTAGCAACACTTCATTTCTATTTATGGAATCATATATCCTAGTAACCCATGTTATAAAATTACATTTCAAACCATACATTTTAAACTGTATAATACCAAAGCGAAAATAAACAAGTCAACTTACTCGATCCGCTAATCCTCCAGGAACTATTGTCCTCACAACCACACCACTCGATTTTCCTCCAACTATTCCAAAACCTAATCCAGAGCCATCATTAATGAGCTCAACATCTTCAATATGGCCCCAATGAACCTACAAATTAATAGCAAATAAAAGCCACAGTGTTAGCAAGACATAGATGCTTAGCTTCCCGATAATTACTGAAGTAACAGATATACCACAAATTGAACATTCATACAAGTAATTAAGGCAACTCTCTGAAGGCTAGGAGATAAAGATGATCATATGGTCCCTGCTCTTGAGAATCTTATAATCCAGTAGAGAGATAATCTAAAACACAAATAATTAAAATGAGAAAGAATATCGAATCTAACAGGATAGAGACATGTAGCTCTAAGAGGACAGAGACATGTCTCATTCTCTAGTCTCTACCCAATATCTAGAACAATGCCCAGCCCACAGGAGGAACCAATAAATATGTGTCTACCTGAACTGAAAGAGAACCTCAAATATTATAAAGGTTGGCAGGGGGAAGATAGGGGAGGCAGAGACAGGAGGTCAAATCCAATGAAGAATTACAGAAACCTTCAAGAAAAAGGTAGCATTTTAATTGCACTATGGAGAAAAAATACATTGAAGCAAAAGGGAAATGTAAGAGCAAAGATGGACCAGGTAACAGAATGAGTCAAAGATGTGGTCAAAAGATTGGATTTAGTTGGGGAACCTGGGTGGCTCAGTTGGTTGGGTGGCTGACTCTTGATTTCGGCTCAAGTCACAAGGTTCATGAGACTGAGCCTCGTATTGGGCTCTGTGCTGCCAGCACAGAGCCTGCTTGGGATTCTCTGTCTCTCTCTCTGTCTCTCTCTCTCTCTCTCTCTCTCTGTCCCTCCCCCAGCACATGCTCTCTCTCCCTGAAAATAAAACAAAACATTTTAGAACAAGATTGGATTGGGGCGCGTGGGTGGCTCAGTTGGTTGAGCTTCCGACTTCAGCTCAGGTCATGATCTCATGGTCCATGAGTTCAAGCCCCACGTCAGCTGTGCTGACAGCTCAGAGCCTGGAGCCTGCTTCGGATTCTGTGTCTCCCCCTCTCTCTCTGCACCTCCCCCCACTCACCCTTTCTCTCTCTCAAAAATGAATACATGTTAAAAAAAAATTTTTTTAAAAGATTGGATTTACTTCACTGGATTAGCAGAAGGAATAACTGAAAGTTTTAGAAAGGGGAGCACAAGAACAAAGCAGTGATTTAGGAAGATTAATTGGGCAGCAATGTGAACAATGAAATGCTGAGAAGGACATAAAGAGACTAATTAAACAGACTCTTATGAGGGAAAGGAAAGGTAGGCCCCACTGAAGATGTTAGCAATAGGACTGTCCAAAACAGACTGAGAGACATACGCATTTTCCCTGTAAGTAGCAGGTTCCCACCAGAAATGTGCATTAAATTCACATAATCTAAGCAGAACCAAATCTTCCATCTCAAGTTCAGCAGGGTACACTTACTGGTTCTATTATTATACTAAGTTGGAAAGTTACTGTGCAATGTTAAAATGATCAGGAATTGGGGCGCCTGGGTGGCTCAGTCGGTTGAGTGTCTGACTTCAGCTCAAGTCATGATCTCGCAGTTGACGAGTTCGAGCCCCACATCGGGCTCTGTGCTGACAGCTCAGAGCCTGGAGCCTGCTTCGGATTCTGTGTCTCCCTCTCTCTCTCTGCCTCTCCCCTGCTCATGCTCTTTCTCTGCCTCAAAAATAAACGTTTTAAAAAAAATTTTTTTTAAATGATCAGGAATATTGGGACACTTAATAAATTCATGTCTAGAACACTACCTAGTATCTGCGGAGTAAAAAGATTTGCTAAAATACACCTGAATTAATGATCACAGCTAATACTCATAGAGTGTAAATTCTGTACCAAGCACCATGCTTAGCTCTTCACACGCATTCTCATTTAATCTGCACATTTAATCTCTCTGTGAAGTGGATGCTGTTCCTAGTTCCAAGTAAAAGAAGAAACTGAGGTGTGGGGGAGTCAAGGAACCTGCCTGATAGGACACAGCTAGAAAGTGGAAGAACTGGACTCGAACCCACCTTAGCCTGGCTCCGGCGCCCTTGTTCTTACCCACTGTGCAAAGCATTTTCCCACTTTGTACATTCTATTTATTATGTAAATTGTGCTGTATTAATATCACTGATTGCAAGAGGGAAAATGTCTACACATTAATTTGTGTTGTGACCTTGTCCTGTACCCAGATGGTCTATTTTTTCTTTTGTCCCAGTGAATGAAAATTAATCAGCTAGCACTTAGTGTTATAAGAAAATAAGATTTATTAGCCTGCAGTCTGAAGATGGAGGCCAAAATCCGTAAAATGTTATAAACCAAGTTTAAAGATTTCCAAGAGACTTTTACTTTTATTCTTTTAAATTGCTCAGTAGACATGCTTATATGAAAAGGAAAACTTCTGTAATTTTGCAGTATAAATAATCTAATCATAAACATCCCATCTAACTTACAAAAATTTTTTTCAATAATAATTTTCAATATTTTTGGAATAAAATAACTAAATCTTACTTAAGATACTTAATAGTAAATCTCTAATAAAACTCTCAGCTTAATTAAGGAACTCCCTACAGCACCAAGGAACACGAGACTCTTTCCCTCACCAAATAAGTTAAACATAATACTACAATTCATCCTCTATGTTAACTGATAATCTTAAATGAGGAGAATCATAGGATGTTGAAAAAACAGAATATCTTGTTTAATATGCTAATGCTATATTTAGAGATGATCTTTCTCAAAGTATGACAAGTAAAATGACACCTTCTAAATGTCTTTACACTTATTAAAATCAGTGGCATAATTCAAAATTGAGTTATTTTTCCAAGTTTGCAACTCACTGTTTCCGGCACAGTTGTATCAGTTAGACTGGTGGACGTACTGCTCTTCATGTGGCCTGGTTCCCTGGCCACGACCAGACGCAAAGATCCAGTGGTTTGTTGCAATAATGCAATTGCTTGCTGATGGGAAACGTTCTGATCCAGCGGTGTGTGATTAATAGCCAATATTTGGTCATTTTCCCTTAATCTTTGATCCCTTAATAAGAAAATTTTGTTGTAATATAATAGCATCATTAAAAAAAAATCTATTCAAGTGAAGCAGTTTATTTCTTATGGCACTATTTCACTTAGTACAATTACTCAAATAATTATATAACAGAGCTCTTCAGAGTGCTTTTCAGAAAAGCACTTATTAGCTAATTAACCAATTAAGTGGTGCATCCCTGAACATGTGTGCATGCACATGTATGGATGTATGCGTGTGTGCGTGCACCCACACACACATACACACACACACACACTTTAAAAACCATTTGGGGTGGGGGGGTGCCTGGCTGGCTCAGTTGGTAGAGCATGCAACTCTTGATGTCAGAGTCCTTAGTTCAAGCCCCACTTTGAGTGTGGAGATAGATAGATAGATAGATAGATAGATAGATAGATAGATAGATAGAAAGAAAGAAAGAAACAAACAAACAAACAAACAAACAAACAAACAAACAAACAAACAAACATTTGGCTAGAAAAATAAGCAAAAGCAATGTATGGAGCCCCACTACCAAGTTTTGCAAGTAAAACACTGCCCCCATTATCGCAAGAACTGTATCCTTCTGAACCCCTTCCAATCTGACTTCAACATATATCACACTGGGGTAACTATATCCTTAAATTCACCAATAACTTCCTCTCTAGCAGAGTCATCCTATCTCCATCGTCCCTTGCTTTTCTGACACTTGTCAATAATTAGGCCCCACTCTCCTTGAAAATCAGCAGACATTACTTCTAAATCTGTTATCTAAGCCCTTTTCTGTCCCAATCACCAACTGCCCAACTGCTAACCAAGGTAAAAGGAAAACAAAACAAAACAAAAAAAAGAACTGTTTTTAAAAGAATTTAGCAAAACCTGGGGCGCCTGGGAGGCTTAGTCGATCGAATGTCCGACTTTGGCTCAGGTCATGGCCTCATGGTTCGTGGGTTCAAGCCCTGCGTCGGGCTCTGTGCCAACAGCTCAGAGCCTGGAGCCTGCTTCAGATACTGTGTCTCCCTCTCTCTCTGCCCCTCCCCTTCTCATGCTCTCTCTATGTTTAAATAAACATTAAAAAAAAAAGAATTTAGCAAATCTTAAGAAAAAAACACCTCTATTACAGTTAATATTTACTAAGCACTTGTCATTTAGCCAGGTACTGCACAAGATGCTTCACAAGCATGATCTCATTTACTCCTCACAATCACCTCTTAAAAGTACTCAGGCAGAATTTGGTAACTTCTGAGCTCAAGGACACAGTATAAACTTGGTTTGTATTCAAAGGCCTGTACATTTGGTCCCCAAGCACTCCTTCCAACTTGGCTTCCTTCCTGCATAAACCCCTTTTCCAACTATTTTGATCTATTCTTCCCCACTCAAACACGCCTGGCATTTCCCACTCTCATGTAGATGGTTCCCTGCATCTTTACTGTCCTCTGACTTACTTGGCCAAAATCAATCCACCTTCCGTGATCCAGCTATCTGTCTGTCTCTGTCTGTCCGTCTGTCTGTCTGTCTGTCTCTCTCTCTCCCCACCACCCTCCCCATCACTTACCTCATTATCACAATGATCTAAACCACTCATTTACCACTCACTGAGTATTCATTTATATTAAATATGCTGTAGACAGAGCTAGGTAAATCCTTTAAAATTCTAAGTTTTCTGAGGACACTCATGTTTTAGATTCTCCTGTGAAACTAGCAAGATCAGAGGAGCATGCAATTCTTGATCTCAGGGTTGCAAGTTTGAGCCCCATGTCGGGTGTAGAGATTACTAAATAAATAAAAACTTAAAAAAAAGAAACTAGCACGTTAGATATTGAAATATCTATTTTTGATGTCAAAATTTTGGACGGCTCTCATGATAAATCAGGTACCATTAAAAATGTTGCTTATATAGGAGTGCCTGGGTGGCTCAGTTGGCTGAGCGTCTGACTCTTGGTTTTGGCTCAGGTCATGACCTCACAGTTCATGAGTTCGAGCCCCAAGTCAGGTTCTGTGCTGACAGTGCAGAGCCTGTTTGGTGTTCTCTGTCTTTCTCTCCCTCTCTCTCTGCTGTGTTCTCTCTCTCTCTCAGAATAAACATTTAAAAAAAATGTTGCTTATATGTCCTTTTATTAATATTAGGAAAGGCTTGTGTTAAGAGATAAAAATAAGATTAAAAACTGTATATGCTCCATGACCTTGTCTTTATAAAAAGAAACCATTCTAAGGTATTTCCTAGTTGTCTCAGGGTAGTCAAAGTCCTAGATGTTTGGGGGAGGGGAAAGTAGTTTACTATATATTCTATAATTTTCTATTATATACATGTATTACTTTCATAATTTTGAAATATACATATATTAAATTGAGAATGTTGCTTGTGAACCTTTCCCAAGTCTGAAAGAAACATTTATTTTAAAATGTGACCACTATAGGACGATACCAGAAATCGCTTCCATTTTCCCATCTCCAATGTCCTCCTTTCTGACTTCTTCACCTAAATTCCTATTCACAGTGTGTTCGTTAAGGAAAATTTCTTAATTAATCCCAAATGAATGGATACTCTTGAGTCTTTTCAACCCTGATGTAACTGATTTTGTGTAAGTTCTTAATTTACTCACATTCAAATCTTCTATTTTCTGGAAATCAACTTATATTAATCTACCTTCCCCCTACCCAATAGACTGCCAAGACACTGAGTTTCTTTCCAGTTAGTAACTGCTCAGGGAATATACACTCAACCCCAGATAAACAAGTTGTAGAGAAGTGAAATCTCCTGGAAAATATGATTTTGATGCATTCTAAAGTTGAACAGAATTAGTTTTCCTGCTACTATAACTCCTCCATACTGTTTGTATATATTGAATTCGTATTTTTCACTCAAGGGGAGACCAATTCTTGTCTCTCCATTGCAACATTTGAAAATAATGGATTCCCATTACTTTGAGAGTCAAAATAGCACAGGTAGGTCTTAGGTAAGATCCTAAAATAGCACAGTTCTATGTGGAAAGTCCTCAGGAGAAACGAAGAACTGATCGTGAATACATTTCACATGACCTAGAAAGTCATGAATAACTGACCCCCACCTTTCTCCAGTCTCTTCTCATACTGTCTTGCACTAAATTCCTACACCAGATACACAGCAGCCTCACTCCAAGAATAGGAGCTGTGTTCCATCTCTCCATAGGACTACTGTCAAGACAGTCTCTTTATTCTTCTAACACCTTCTCCTCTTTGCAGACCCCACGGTCTCAAGTTTTCCGCCAAGCACTGTGGTCTCTGGGAAGTCACCTGACCACTTAGTCTTGGTAAAGGTTGTTTACATGCTGACACATCAAATTCCACTTTTTGGAAATGCTCACCTCACTCTGTAATTACAGACTTCGTACAGAGCAACTCAGACACAGGACTGACCACAAAAAGTTTGCATAACATTGAAGATACACTAAACACTAGTGAACTGTACATTTTAGAACAGTGACATTTATATGATGTGAATTATATCCCAATAATTTTTAATTTAAAAAAAATAAAAATAAAAGTTGGGCCAATCAAAGTTAAATAGGCTTTTTGTCCAGGGACTTCAAAGCCTATGGTAAACTAATGGTAAGTGACCTAAGGCCCAGGCTCACCCGGGATTGTCTTAGGTTTGTCAGAATAGTCTTACTCTATACCTGCTGGCTCAGTGTCACTAACTGCATACCCTCTCAGTCCCAAAACTCTCCCAAAATGGACAATAAATTATATGGTTACCCTAACTATGTATACCCAATCTCCAAGAACAGGATAGAATTTCTCAAATATATCTAACCATTGCTAAGGTTCCTCAGAAAATACTTGAGGAAATGTTGCATGAAATGGCAGAATAAAAGCTGCAAAGTCATGGAAATCCATTATTTCTGAACTTTCAGTTAGAGAGACTAGAACTCATACCCCATGAATGCAGAATGTGAATTCAAAAATTTATTATTGGCTGAGAATTCTTTTTACAATAGTACCAGTACTGTTGTAATTACTCTAACAGGCAGTAGAACTGTGATGAATAACAGTGTACTCGTTAAGTGAATAACAAAGGACCTGAATCATATAGAAACAAAATACAAGGCTTGCACATACCTCTTAAAAATAATAAAAAATATATATATATATACTCAGCAATCAAAAAGAATGAAATCTTGCCATTTGCAACTACGTGGATGGAACTAGAGGATATTATGCTAAGCAAAATTAGTCAGAGAAAGACAAATATCATATGACTTCACTCATATGAGGACTTTATGACAGAACAGATGAACATAAGGGAAGGGAATCAAAAATAATATAAAAACAGGGAGGGGGACAAAACATAAGAGACTCTTAAATATGGAGAACAGAGGGTTACTGGAGGGAGGGGAGATGGGCTTAATGGGTAAGGGGCATTAAGGAATCTACTCCTGAAATCATTGTTGCACTATATGCTAACTTTGATGTAAATTTTTAAAAAGTAATAATAAATAAAACAAAACAAACAATAATAACAATAATAATAATAATAATAAGGGGAACCTGGGTGGCTCAGTCAGTCAAGCATCTGACTTCAGCTCAGGTCATGAACTCACAGTTTGTGAGTTTGAGCTCCAAGTCAGGCTCTGTGCTGACAGCTCAGAGCCTGGAGCCTGCTCTGGAATCTGTCTCATTCTCTCTCTGCCCCTCCCCTGCTCACACTCTGTTTCTCTGTTTCTCTCTCTCTCACTCTCTCTCTCTCAAAAAGTAAATAAACATTAAAAAATTTTTTTATTTTAATAATAAAATAGTACAAGTACAATAGGGGGAATCACATAGATTTGAGGAAGCTTTTAATTGATAAGAGAAATAATCAACCACCAAAACAGCGGTTATAATCTTAAAATGCAAATTTCAGTATTTCCATCTTACTGATCAGACATAGCTAAAATGCCATGTTCAACTGTGGGAGAATGTGGTGGAATAGAGCACTAGTTTTGGAGTCCGGCTGTCTTGGAATCCTATCACGGCTCCTGGTTCCAGCGCCAACAGCTCTGTGACTGCAGGTAAAGTGCTGAACCTCTCTGAAACCCAGCTTTCTCATCTATAAAACAGGGCAATGATACTACCAGCTGGATCGCTGCCACAAGTACATGGGAGAATATCTGCAAAAGGCCTGACGAATGCATAGGAAGAGAGCAAGTGTTAGCTGCTACCGTTAACTGTTTTCATTACTAGTTTCTTATTTGCTTTATAATAACATTTTCAGAATTATCAGAAAAAAATTAGCAAAACACAGAGGGAACGCCCTCCTCACCTGTCTGCTATACTCCCCGGCTGCACCTCCTTCACAAAGATATCAACTTCTCCCAGATTTTGACTTCTAAGGGCCACCACACTGAATCCCAGGCCTCCAGTTGAAGGTCGTTCTATCTCGATATATTCAATTTGGCGACCCTAATGAAGGGGGATTAAAAAAAAAAAAAAAGGAAAAGTCAATAAAGTATATTTAACCACCATACCCTTTCCAAAGAACTAAAATTGCTATTTTTGTGAATAACACAAAAAACAGCTTCTCTTAAGTCATCTCTATCCAAAAAATCTCAGAATTTCAGCAATAAATTATTTCTGGAAATGCTCTCACTTGGTTATTTTCAGTAGAACACGAGAGGGAATGTGCAGTATTCTGCAACCTCAGGGAATCGGAGAGGTATTTTCACACTTCATTCACGTTATGAGATGAAGCCCAAGCTGGATGAAAATTCCCGAGAAAAACATCTTTTTCCACAGTAAATTCTAGATTACTTTTTACACTGAATTTCTCTAAATTCTTTCCATGAAAAATACATTTTTCAATGAGGAAAGCAAAATAGATATCGAGAATGTGCTAGTGTTCAGCCGAAGTTAGAACCAGCTGCATTTTTTTAGGGTCTAATTTTTAATTTTATTGTGATGAATTAATATTCCACTTTATTAGGTTAACTCAAAATATTATGGAAAGGCCACCATTCAAATGGGTTCAACCTGTAACAAACACATATTTTATTGCTTTAGTTAATAACTACATCTATGACATGAGAACTTCCTAAATGTAATCACATAACAAAAGCGTTACATTAGGGGCGCCTGGGTGGCTCAGTCAGTTAAGCATCTGACTTCGGCTCAGGTCATGATCTCATGGCTCCTGAGTTTGAGCCCCACGTCAGCTGTGCTGACATCTCAGAGCCTGGAGCCTGCTTAGGATTCTGTGTCTTCCTCTCTCTGCCCCTCCCCTGCTCATGTGCTCGCTCTCGCTCGCTCTCTCTCTCTCTCTCTCTCCCCCTAAGAATAAACATTAAAAAAGAAATTTTTTTTAATTATTAGTCAAATTAATAGGATAGAGCTATAAAGTCAAAAAAGGAATTAGGTATAGAATATTTAAATATCACACCTTAAACCGATTCTATTTAACTCTAAAACTCATGTTTCATTTTTTTTTTTAAAGATACTTATTAGAAGGTGAGGTAAACAAACATTAACACATCCAAAATTTCAACTATTTAATTTTTAATAGTACACGGGGTAAAACTGGATGACTCCTTCAAATGTTTCCCTAGATTTTCCAAATTATATTAGGTCTAACTCTCATTAATTCTATCTTGATAAAAAATTAAAAATAGCTTCAAAGGAGCTTCATCACTTCTGGTAGACATCAATTTTCCTCCTATGACCAAAATCCTAAGAATCCCTTTCAAGTGCAGAGATATGTCAAATTGAATTGTCTAAAAACTCCTTGCCACACTCAGATATTTTCCTTACGTAATTTTAAGTCAATAAATGTCTAATACACAGGTTAAAAATAGTATCAATCTCTCCTAACAATATAAAAATGCAAGCAAACCACACACACAGAAACTAAGTTTAAGGCAAAGAGTTTTTTTTTTTTTAAAGAGTATTGTTTTCTTTTTTAACCTATAAGAGGAAAAATATAGCAAAATAGTCCCATGACAAGATATAACTTTACCTGAGCCATCTGTTGAATGACTGAATTAAAGTCTTCATTTCCCAGATTAGGAGTCCAAGGAAACAACCCAGAGGCAGTCAGGTTATTAGAGGGTCTTTGGGCATTCCCGTTAGTAATGGCACCATCTGTAAACACTAATAAACCTTTCCTAGAAAAATCAAAGTTGGCTGAACAATCTGAGGGTATGTGGCTGAGCTGTCGGAGAGAAAACAAGAGAATCATTAACAGAAACCTACACAAAAGAAATTACTTATTAAATATTCTATTTTCCCCATTACATGTATAAATTGCTATTAAATATTTACACAAGAAAGAAATAAAATACAGATACATGAATCTGTGTGTTTGTAAGGTTAAAAATTTTATTTAGTATTGCACAGAATATTTAATAGTTTAAAATATGTTGCTTCCTGCCTTCTACCATCACCCTAAGTTAACAGCATGTACAACAGCTCATTACACTTCTTATACACAGGTACAACCAGTCAGATAAACATGTAAGACCCTGATCCCTTTTGCGTTTCCATGTAGAAGGCCACAAAATATCCACAGGTAATTGAAACAAAAATAACAGTAACAGTATTTAATGAATGATTGCTATGAGCAAAGTACTACACCAGACTCTTACATATTATCTCATTTAATCCTTACACTAGCCCTAAAAGATATTATTCCATTTTGTGAACATGAAAACTGATTCACAGGTTAAGGAACTTGACCAAGATTAGCAGCAAACGAGTACTGTTTATACTTACATGGTATAGAAAAAAAGTGGGGGGAGGGGAAAGAAACCTATAGTTATGGTGAATAACAGAAGTTAATTTTTAAAATATCATTGGCTGAGAGGTGCCTGGGTGGCTCAGTCGGTTAAGTGTCTGACTTCAGTTCAGGTCATGATCTCACAGTTTGTGGGTTCAAGCCCTGCACTAGGCTCTGTGCTGACAGCTCTGAGCCTGGATGGAGCCTGCTTGAGATGTTGTGTCTCCCTCTCTCTCTGCCCCTCCCCCACTCATGCTGTGTGTGTGTTTGTGTCTCTCTCTCAAAAATAAATAAACATTAAAAAAAATTGAGAAATAAAATAAAATCTCACTGGTTGAAGGGCGCCTGGGTGGCTCAGTCAGTGTCTGACTCTTAATTTCGGCTCAGGTCATGATCTCACAATTTGTGAGGTCGAGCCCCACGTCAGGCTCTGCACTGACAGACAGCTTGGGGCCTGCTTGGGATTCTCTCTCTCACTCCCTCTGCCCCTCCCCATTGTATACATGCTCTCGCACTGTCAAAATAAATAAACTTAAAAATATATGTGTGTGTGTGTGTGTGTATATACATATATGTACATATATATACATATATACACATATACATATATACATATGCACGTATACATACATATGTGCATGCATACATACATATACACATATACATATGTATGTATACATACACATATGTATATGAATACATACATATACGTATATGTATATGTATATGTGTACGTATATACATATATGTACATATATGTACGTATATGTGCATGTACACGTACAGGAGTGCCAACACATCGGAATAAAGGTAACATCAAGAACAAATGTCAATAGGACCACATAGGGGAAAAAAAAAATCAATACCCACCAAAACTCTATGAAAACACTCAAAAAAATTCAGATTTTACAGTTGAATGGATACAATGATTATGCATATAACAACTGCAAACTATATAAATACAAAAGATAGTTATTATGATGGAGTGGTTGGTCAATTCCACTCTTCGTCCAATAAGAGAACAGATTTGTAGTAACCCTTCCCAATTTCTATTGCTATTAATAGCATTCACTTGCTCTATAGGACTCATCCCCTGGCCAGGGACTATAGTACCAAAGCATCAACATGGGGAGTTGTAAAATTATGGTATAAATCTGATCCAGAGAAAGAAATTCACAAAAAGACATATGTGCGGACTTTAATCCTTAATTTGTTATAAGAAAAATCACTTGCTAAGTATTTATGGGCAGCCATTTTGGTTTATTAGCAAAAACCATTTTTCCCAGATTTTGTTAATTTTCACTTAACAATGTTCTGCTACATTATCTCCAATTACATTTAAAATTCTGCCCAGGGGCACCTGGGTGGCTCAGTCGGTTAAGCCTCCGACCTCAGCCCAGGTCATGATCTCACGGTTGGTGGGTTTGAGCCCTGCATTGGGCTCTGTGCTGACAGCTCAGAGGCTGGAGCCTGCTTCAGATTCTGTGTCTCCCTCTCTCTCTGCCCCTTCCTCATTTGTACTCTCTCTCAAATAAATTTAAAAAAAATTAAAACTCTGCCCAAATGTAATCCATAGGAGAGCTACTCTTCAAGCTCACCTTCTAAAATAGAGATTTAAAATCAATTTGCCCTCCGTGACCCCAAAAAACAGCAACCAAGAGGACAGTTAAAACTATTAATTGATATCACTCTAAGAAGTGCTGCCATGTGATCTATAATTCAACACTCATGTGTGTGGAAACCCTAAGACTCCGGGTACAATACTGTATGTAGTGGAGAAAACACAGGTAAAACACCAGTTATACTGCTTCTGAGACCTTTCTAATCGGAAAATCCATGACATTTAACATTTATTTGATAAATATTTGATAATTGGGAGGTGTAAGTAATATGGTACAAGGGTATGGTCACTTCTCGCTAGAAAAAATGGCTTCATGAAGAAAATATATTTAAGCTCAACACTATTTTATATTCTGAAGAAAATGTTGGGAAGTCTGAAGGTATCTGACCTTTACATATTTAAATAAGTACAACTTATATTCTAAACACAAAATTTATCATCAATGTATATATTTTTTAAGTAAGCTCTACACCCAACGTGCGGCTTGAATGTAGGACCCTGAGACCAAGAGTGCATGCTTTACGGACTGAGCCAGACAGGCAAACATTTGAAACTATCCGTGCAATGCTACCTGTAGGTCGCAGGTCCCAGTACAGTCTCCCTGTTGAATTCAGTGCACCGAGAGACAAGTTTGTCTCTATCTCTTTCTTTCTTTGCTGGCTTGAACATACCAACACGTAAAGCCCTGACGAGTAACTTACTTGCCCTCTCAGTTGCTTGATGGACTGCTGAAGTGTAAGGATCTGATTGAAGAGAGGGCTCTTTAGTGTTTCATAAAACAGAGAGAGTTTCTCATTCTGCGATGTGTCCCCCTTCTCCTGCAGTTTCATTTTCAGTCGATCAAGAACTTGTAGGACCTGCAGTTTATCTTGTTTGAAGAAGGATAACCAGAGTACAAGTTAATCCCATCATCGTTTGAATCCTTTGAATCCTTAATTCACTGATAGAAGTGTGTAGCTAGCATACCTGGAGCAGGATTTTCAGGCATTTTGAATTACTGTCTTCAATCTCTTCTAAAGAAACCTAAAGAAAATTTTAAAATACAAAAGATGAATTTCAATTAGCATATAATTTTCTATAGTACTGTAAAAAAATTAAAGAAAACATCAAGAACATTCTTCATCAAAAGACTTCACTCAGGAAATTCAAATTAAAACTACAATTTGGGGGGTGCCCGGGTGGCTCTGTCAGTTACGTGTCCGACTTTGGCTCAGGTCAGGATCTCACACTTTGTGGGTTGGAGCCCCGGGCCTCGCTCTCTGTTACCAGCACAGAGGCCGCTTCAGATCCTCTGTCTGTCTCTCTCTCTTTGCCCCTCCCCTCCCTCAAAAATAAAGAAACATTTAAAAAAAAAAAAAAAAAAGCTACAATTTGAGGCACCGAGGTGGCTTAGCTGGTTAAGTGTCCAACCCTTGATTTCAGTTCAGATCATGATCTCACAGTTCATGGGCTCCACGCTGACAGACACAGCCTGCTTGGGATTCTCTCCTCCTCTCAAAATAAATAAATAAATATTAAAATATACTTAAAAAAACAAAAAACTACAATGAGGTGCTAAGATGGCTAAAACTAGAAAGAAAAACAGGCAATTTGTTGACTGTTGACAAAGATGTGAAGCAACCAGAACTCTCATACGTCACTAGTAAGAACATAAAATGCACATACGCTTTGAAAAGTTGTTTGGTAGTTTCTTATAAAGTTAAAAATACATTTGCTGTATGATTCAGCACTTCCGCTCTTAAATACTTACCCAAGAAAAATGAAAATATGAATTCACAGAAGAGCTGTATATGAAGGTTCATAGCATTTTTATTTATAAAAGCTCTGAACTACAAAACCCCAAATGTCTAATAACAGATGAGTGTACATGTTATAGAACATAAACAGAATATTCAGAAATAAAAAGGAAAAAAATTATGAATATACACAACACGGATTGTTCTCAAAAATCCCTCAAATGTTGAGTGAAAGAAACAAGACAAAAAAGGTTACAGACTGTATGATCCCATTCACATGAAGTTCAATCTATAGCTATAAATTAGTTTACCTGGGCAGGGTAGAAAGGAGCTGACTGGGAAGGGATTTGAGGGAGCTTTTGGGGGAAATGGAAATGTTCTAAGTTTTGAATGGGGTACTATTCACACAGATGCATACATTTGTCAAAATTCATTGGCTTATATTTTTAAATCAGTACATTTTATTGTATGTAAATTAACTTTAATTTTTTTAATGTTTATTTTTGAGAGAGACAGAGACAGACAGACAGACAGACAGACACACACACACACACACACACACACACACACACACACACACACGGAGCTTGAGTAGGGGAGGAGCAGAGAGAGAGGAAGACACAGAACCCCAAGCAGGCTCCAGGCTCTAAGCTGTCAGCACAGAGCCTGAGGTGGGGCTTGAACTCACGGACAGCAGATGGTGAGATCATGACTTGAGACGAAGTCGGACATTTAACCAACTGAGCCACCCAGTTGCCCCTAAATTATACTTCAATAAAGTTGATTTTGTAAAAAGGACCCTGGGCTGGAAAAGAACATCTAAATTAAGAGATGAAGATGATTTTAGAGAGATTAGGGGGAAAAAAGTCCCCAACTGCACAAATGATCCCGGATCCAAGTGCATCTGAGTCTCCAAAAGGTAACCACCCAATATATTGGCATTTTCTGTTTTTTATTCAAATAAATTAAATCCCTAAAATGGAACTCAACTGTAACAACTCAAAATGCTAGCAAACCCTCTGCTCTGACCAAAATGGCACTTTCAGAGCAGTCACTTATCCTAATCGTACACTAGATGGTAATAAATCATCAGAGAAACAGGAGTATTATATAGTCCAAATTTTCCTACATCAACTCTGGATACAGTTGCTGAATGAGGTCTTTATCTTCCAATTCAAGGTCACTAAGAAAGCATATTAAAAGCCAGTAAGGGATGCCATCTGCACTGATAAAAGGTCCATGTATTCCATCCAAACGTTCACTGGATTCAGTGAGAAAGAATTGCTGAATAAGAGCATCACAGAAACGCTACCAATGAGCTCAGCATCTCAATTGTGCAACCTTTACAACTACCCATTGACAGGTAACTGAGTAACAAAAGACAGTTACAATGGCACTGTCCTTTTCTATAGCAGCCTAAGGCCCAAGAGGATTGACAAGAGCAGCTTTGTGGTCATTAATACATCAACCACTCTGAAATAAAGAATGCAAGCTAAAACTATGAGATGCTATTTTTTACTGCCAAGTTGACAATTTTTTTAAATGAATAACCGCATGTAGCATAGATGTCATGGAAAAACAGGCGGGAATATAAATTTGCACAACCTTTTAGGAGGGCAACTTAGCAATAGCTATCAATATATTAAATTTGCATTCTCTTTTACCCAGAATATCTACTTCTGAGGGTCTCAAAGAAATACTTGCAGACGGGCACACAGATGTGTGTACAAGAATATTTACTTCATTGTTTTTAAGAACAAAACTCCTGGAAAAATTAAACTATCAAAAGTAGTCAGTCATGGGGTGCCTGGGTGGCTCAGTTGGTTAAGCGTCCAACTTTGGCTCAGGTCATGATCTCACAGTCTGTGAGTTTGAGCCCCACATCAGGCTCTGTGCTGACAGCTCAGAGCCTGGAACCTCAGATTCTGTGTCTCATTCTCTCTCTGCCCCTCCCCCTGCTTGTACTCTGTCTCTGTCAAAAATAAATAAATGTAAAAGAAAAAAAAAATTAAAAAGTACTACTTCTAAAAAAAAAAGTAGTCAGTCATTACAATAATAAAGTAGGTCTGAATGTATTGAAATGACAATGGGAGGGAAAGGGTTAACAGTAAGCCTGTGGCTCCCTCCTTCAGGGAGGGATAGCCAGCTTGATAACCAAACCCCCTCGCAAACCCTCTAAAGATTTTTAATAGGTAATAGCCCATGTTTTTAAATGTCAGGAAATACCTGATCTGTCCTAATTGCTTTTTGTAAGTAATCTGAGAATATGTGGAATTATGGGGCATGGCTGACTAGAAAATAGGAGACAATCACACAGATATTTTACATTTGTCTAACTCGTAGAGTATAAAACTCAGGATTCCCCAAAAACAAAAGGTTTCCTTATAGAAAAATGTTTCCAGGGGCGCCTGGGTGGCTCAGTCGGTTCAGCGGCCGACTTCAACTCAGGTCATGATCTCACAGTTCACGGGTTTGAGCCCCGCATCAGGTTCTGTGCTGACAGCTCAGAGCCTGGAGCCTGATTCAGATTTTGTGTCTCCCTCTCTCTCTGCCCCTCCCTTGCTCATGCTCTCTCTCTCTCTCTCTCTCTCAAATAAATACACACTAAAAAAAAAAGGTTTCCATATATATTGTTGAGAACTTGTCCAGTAATCTAAAACAAAACAACGTGTCCTAAGGTTGTACTTTATTCCTGTAAACAAATTAAAAATTGTGGCTGAGGTGTGTCAGAAATACATTTATACGTTACTTAATGTCTACACATAACTAGGTTTCATAAGTGTGTTGATAATATGTCCTAAGAAGAAAAGTGACATTCTTTGGAATGCCTACTGGCTGGGTACTCCTCCAGGAAGGAATGTCTGTGCCTAACTCCTACCTGTAATCACTGAATCATGAGTAAGCTTTGGTGCTGGTTTGAAGTTTGATCTCTCATTCACATGAGCATGCTTTGACAATTCAATCCCCTATGTTAACACAGGGATATTATCTAACACTCACAACTGAATAGGGAAAACAGCAACTTTCAGGATGGGTGCATTTTCTTTTTGTGAGGGAAAAAAATACATTGGGGCATCTGGGTAGCTCAGTCCATTAAGCATGGACTCTTGAATTCGATTCAGGTTGTGATCTCACAGTGGTAAGATTGAGTCCCACATCCGGCTCCATGCTGGGCGTGGAACCTGTTTGGGATTCTCTCCACCCCTCCCCCACACGCTCTCTCTCAAAACAAACTTAAAAAAAAAAAAAATGGAAGCAAAATGGAACATGTCCAAGCACATATGAGAAGTTAAGGGTAGACCTAGGACTTGAACCCAGTCTTTTTAAGTACAGCCTTCTCTCAACCACTCTGCATCAGGATACCTGACCTTTGCACTCCAAAGGAAGCAAGAGACACTTAAAGCTGTTCATGGATTTTTATTTTTTAATATTTGCTTATTTTTGAGAACAAGCTCTCTCTCATAAACAATTTATAAAAAAAAATATGTACTCATGCGTAGGTTTCTAGTTTTAGAAAGGTAGTCAATTTTATAGTGATTACTTCTAAAAAGTAAAAATAAGGATGCAGAGATTAAAAACTTAGACTTTTACAGATTTTAGTGCTGTTTGAACTTTATTTTAAAAGTATGTCTTAATTTTATAACTGAAAAAGACAAAAAGATAATGGCGAACATGGCCTAGTGAGAGAGCACACAGATACAAAGATCATGACAACACAACAGGATATATCATAAGGCCTATAAATAGTAGAGGCGTGTGCCATGTACTAAGTGAAATCACAAAGGGAGGGTGACTAAGCCTGAGTGGGGATGTGTGGAATGAGAACACAGTAGAAACTTCTCTTAAAAGAAAGAGAATAGGGTGTAAGAGGAGAGTGACCATTTGCCCAAGATAGTTTCAGATTACCCAGCATCATTGACAGTGTTTCATTTCACTGGCAAAAATGTTGCAGTTGTGAATGGATAGAAAAGATGTAGCTCGTGCGCACACATGCACACACACACACACACACAATGGATATTACTCAGCCATAAAAAAGAATGCGACCCTCCCATTGGGATGGACCCAAAGCTTATTATGCTAAGTGAAATAAGTCAAAGAAAGACAAATGGAATCTAAAAAAATGAGTAACAACAACAACAACAACAACAACAACCTCTTAAATACAGAGAACAAACTGATGGTTGCCAGAGGGGAGGTGGGTGGAGGGATGGGTAAACAGAAGATTAAAAAGGTACAAACTCCCAGTTAC